CCTATGACAGACTAAATTTAGGACTACAGACTGACTAGACTAAAATCTCTCTGCAATAAGTATATCAACTCAGACGCATGAAAGTGGAATGTCTGAGAAGGCCAGTGTAACAAAGGAAGAGGATGATCCAGAAAAAAAAGGTGGCTTCAACTTTGATACTTTACCTATGAAATCCTCAAATCCTGGCTAAGCATTTCTCAATTAGTCTACTTAGGGGAAATGAGACAGTACTACATTTGAGCCATACCATTTCCCATGGAGATCTCTGCTTAGGATAATTGTTATTAAACTGTAATTAATTATTCCATTTTGTGGTTTTGATTCTTGTATATAAAATGTATTGCTGTCTTTAAAAAATACGGAGCTAATGGATCTTTTCCAGATAAACCTAAGGATAAAGACTGAATTGGGTTAGCCTAACAAATTTTTGTGGTTAAAACTGTTTTCCCAGTTGTCTGTTCTCAGGAAGTATATCTTATCAAACTGTACAAAAAATAAGGATTATTGTGTCAAGTAGCCTTGACGCATTTTAATAATATGGTATTAGGGTGTGTGTGCTTTTAGGATCAATGATTTTGACTTAAGAATTGGCATGATTGAAGTTTGCTGGAGCCTTTGGGTCCACTTTAAAAAAATCCAGAATTATCAGATTCCTCCTCAAAGGAGGTGGATTTAGACTATATTTAGAATATAGTTACTTCAGAACTGGCAATTGCAATTAAAACTGCAGCAGTTCAATCAAACAGGGAGAGAAATACTGTGATTATTCCAAGATATAAGAACTCAGCAAAGATGGTTTAAGGCAGATAAAGTAAGATCAATAACTTCAATCGTCACCAATGTCTCAATCCATTAGGTGACGACTGTTTTCTCATTGAAATCCCTCCTTAGGGTTTTTTAAATTCTATAAAGAATTTTATTTCCCCACTAAAGTGATGGAAACAAAACCAATAAACACACAACAAAATCACCCAGTGCTGCTCAAGTTGGTGGTCATTACATTGTTTCAATTACTTCATCACTACCTGGCCATAAGGACACTTGAACGCTTTCAACGTGAGCCCCATGTCTTCTGAGGGAACCACACAGATATGTCTGCCAGCAGGTAGAAAGAATCATGAATTCTTTTCATTAAACCCTTTACACCAAGTTGTCCCTTATAAAAGCCATGGCAGAACTTGAGTATTCTGACTTTGTAGTCATGTCTTTAATTAACTGACAGATAGCAAGTGAAAGAATAAAGTGTTTCCACCTACAATTAAATCACATTTTAAGTGGGATGCCAAGCTGTTTGGTTACAATCATTTCTAAACCAGTACCACATCTTACAGTAAACAAGAAGGAAGGAAACGTGGTTGGGGGCGGGGGGGGGGAGCAGAAGGGAGGAGGGAAGGCATGAAAGAAGGAAGGAAATCTCAAAAAGGAATAAGGTCTACTATATTTTGGATTTTAGTAGTTAGTCTCTGAAATTTAAAGAATCTTTTTTTTTTTTTTACTTGGCCATTCATTTATACGGAAAACAATCCCTTTATAGTCATCTTAAATCAGAAAAAGAAAATTCTTGCAAAGACACCAAGCACTACACTGACAGTTCTTTCTAAAATTGTGCTGTTTGATTTCTGGAAAAGCCACTCTTAGTACTAAAAATGATCTATAACAGTACAGTCTTTTATCTGGCCGTTGTGCACCTGAGGATAACAAAGTTCTGCCTGTTTATTTTTTTGCACATGAATGACCACGTCTTAATGGAATGATTATCTATTCTTTTAATTTCCCCTTTTTAAATTATGATTGTAGTACCTCTGTTTCTTTGTCTCTATGTAAAAAAGAAAATGAAAAATTCAGTCAATAATCCAGATTTTTTCAATCATCTTATGGATAAGTTACTGTGAAGATAAAACATCTGGGGGAATGACAACAATTCATCTTTTAACCAGATTTATGACTCAAATGACGCAACCCTCCTATCTAAACTTAGCAAGACCTATTTCCTTCAGGAGAGCATTAAATGTTTACATTATTACAGTCCGAAATGAGGGCTTAATGCTTCAGTGGTGTTGAACAGCGGCAATTCTTTATTAAAATGCTCCTATGAGGAGTTGATCTGTTCTTGAATTTTGCACAGATTAGTTCTCAATTTAGAATCTTAGGTATTATTTAAATCAGACATCAAACAATGTTGATATTAATGGGTCAAAAGACGATGTTAGTCACTAGAAATCCGTCGTTGCTAATATAAATTTCACTTGTGTAACAAAAACAACATGGGAATAAAATGGATTGACTGTTGAATGCCTTCTTAGAACCCAAGCCACAGGAACTACTCAATTTTTATTCATACATTTTAGTTACTTAACATATCCCTTACTAATTTCAAATTACACAGCAACAGTTTCTAAACAGCTCATTTGTACACATATATTAATGTAATCAGAGAGCAAATTCATAAATTATACATTGTATAGAAGGCTCATAAAAGTGTGTGACTGTATTCAAAAAAATCAATTTCTAAGTCAATAACAAGAAAGAGAGACCTTGTAGAAAACTTGAAATTTGAAATAAAGAAAGTATTCCTTTGACCAAAGCTTAACATTCCCTCAAATGTTATCAGATTTTTACTGGCACACCTCTTGGGGAAGTGCTCCACCATCTAGTTGATATGTAAAACATTAGGAAACTCTAGAAATATTGACTTTTTTTGCCTAAGTGTTAACAATAACCCACAAAGTACTTGCCTTTTTCCTCTCGTGATTTAACATTAATTTAATACCACCTTAAGATAAATTTGACATCACTTTAAGAAAGATGAATGGCTGCAAATGTTAAACTTCAGTATCACTTTGCAATTACTTACCACAGTATACAACTTTGAAAATAATGAATTGATTTCTTCTATGCAAATGAATAAAGATTGTAACTAGATTTTGTTAGTAGCTGACATCTGCATCACCTAGGATGAATTTCTTTTATAAAGTACAAAACTACCTAGCTAGCTAACTCCCTCCCTACCTATCTGGGTGTATGTATTTGTGCACTTTAACTAGACATAATATCAAATGCTATAAAACTGAATGGGGGTTGTGGAAAGAATCAGTTATTATTAGTAGAAATCCACTATGTTTTCCACAGTAACCAGCAGTCATTCAAACCTGATTAAAGTGACAGCACACTGACATAATGTGGTTATTAATTCCCTCTGAACAATACGTTAAAGAAAAATTGCAAATTTACATGAAACTCAGTGCCCACCAGGGACCTCCTGTGCTTGTTTGTCAGGCATCAGTGAGCTTTTTTGCAAGCCTGGTTGCACTAACCACATACATCTGCACAGGCTATTATACACAAAGATGTCAATGAGAAAAAGTAAAAGAATCATAATTTTATTTATTAACATGTTGGTTTCCTTCAACAAGCTTTGGCATAGTCACCTTTAATAGGGAAAAACAAAACCCTTCTGCAAGCATTTGTGTAAGGTCACTGTGTTGGAAACGACCCCTCCATTTTGATCGGGAAAGGAAAATCATCCCAAAGGTGACAAGATATTTCCCTCTTCCTGCCCAGAAAAATAACTGTTAGGACTTTCCTGGTGAAAAGGATGCATCAATGCTATAAATACTCTTCGTTTCAGAGGGATTTTCATTTGTTTTATGTATTTCACACATAGCATTGCTCTTTCTCCAAATTCAGTCTTATTCATTTTTTTTCCTGAATAGTTACAATCTAAATTTAGATAAGAAATTTCTCCCTTAGCAAACCAAACTAGAGAGAATAAAAATTCTCTTTCTGATTTTTGTCTTATTTAAGGAATGTGTATTCTGTTCTGATCATTCGTTTTATATTTCATACTACAAATGAAATAGAAAACTCTTTTTCCAAAAAGCAATATCCAAAAAGATAATATAAAAAGTATAATTTATCAGAATTAAAGAGTTTTAAAATATCAAACAATAAATCTCAATGTTAGTCACTCACTTGATCTTCTAGATTCTAATCATTTTAAAAATCAGATCTAATTTTTGCAAAGAGACTTTATTAATTTTTTAATCCAAATTTGATTCTCTGTCCCAGTGACCCAGAAGATAGGAATCTGAGAACAAAAGGATTGATGTAATTCATTGAACTAAGTGGGACTGAACTGAAATATGTACATGCGAAGGTTCTCATAGCTCACAGCTACTGTCAGTGGGTCAAATGGAAAACCCAACAAAATCCCTCGACTCAGTGAGGAGGAAAAGAGATTCCAGATAATCTACTCACTCTCACATATGCACACAATCATCCCTCAAAAGATGCAGCAGAATTTTTATTTGTACCAAAGTTTATATTCTAGCCACTTTATAGGACAATTTGTTTCCCAAGGATCACTTAGTGGGAAGAAAATAGAGAATAAACAAAATAAGCAAATAAATACATTGCATCTATAATGATAAGTGTTTTGGAGACAAGTACATTTCTCTGCCTTGAATGCTAGATAGAAGAGATCTGATTTTATAGAACACAAGAAGGGAGCCAGAGAACCACAGGAAATCCTATGACAGAAGCAGTGCTTTAAAAAAATACTCTGGGAGCGGTGCGCAGGGTGTACAGGCAAGTGGAAAGAACAGAGATGAGTGATGAGGATAATTTAAATCAGGGCAGGTGATAGTGCAGTCACTACAGCTCAAAAGCAATGGGAATATTAAAGGTGGGATGAACTCACCAGAAACTTCAAAGAAAAATCTGAGATTTAGTGACTTACTGGATATAGGAAACAAAGAGGAGGAGAAGCAAGGGGTCCTCAACACTTTATTCCTAGGGACCAAGAGAATAGTGGCATCAAGGTCATTTACGAAGACGTTATTAACAATAGGACAATCAAAGAATTGCTTATTTCTAATGAAAACAGAACCACCTGAATCCTGAGCTCATGCCTGACGGTCATAGTTCAGAATTTCCTCCAATCCTTGTAGTGGTTTTGAGCATTTCTGCAATATTTACATACATGCTTGGAAAATGCTCACCAGTTTGCCACCAATGGTCCAAGACGGGTACTTTGAAGATCTTTTTAGACCATTCCAGGGTCTCCACATCACATCGTTCTCCAGCCACAAATAATGTTTTGAACCTGAATATAAGAGGGAGAGTAAATTCAATTTATTCCTTGAAAATCAGTCTCAATAATTTCATCTACATTCTTTTAAACACTGTAGAATATAACCTCATTAATTCTGTCAGAAGAAAGCAGTCATATTAGCAGTATATCATACTGTAAAACGGTGAGAGGTATTATTTGTTTTGACTCAAATGTAATCAAATGCACATCACAGCATTCAAAAGTAGAATTCACAGCTACAGCGTCTCAGTTTCGAGAAGAGCAATTCAGTTGATCTTTGTAATATATCTGTCATATTCATCTAATGATCAAAGATAAAAACCTTTTCCTCCTTGGGGCCAGCCCAGTGGCGTAGCAGTTAAGGTCATGTGCTCTGCTTCTGCAGCCCAGGGTTCGCAGGTTCGGATCCCGGGCGCAAACTGATGCACTGTTTGCCAAGCCATGCTGTGGCGGCATTCCATATAAAGTAGAGGAAGATGGGCACGGATCTTAGCCCAGAGCCAATCTTCCTCAGCAAAAAGATGAGGACTGGCAACGGATGTTAGCTCAGGGCTAATCTTCCTCACAAAAAAAAAAAAAAAAACCTTTTCCTCCTTCACATTATCTCTGCTAATTTTAACTCAAAGTTTGATTGCTATATTCTTCTTAAGGCTATACACAAAAATATACTCACAAGTACCAGCTAAAGCAACAAATCTGCTCATAAATTTGATGCACTTGTTCCTTCTCATGAGTTCCTTTGGCAAAGATTACTCTGATTTTATGCATATATTTCCCCTATTCCAAGGACATATATAGGAAAGATAGGTGATTAAAAAGTAAATGCCATTATGGCCTTCCAGGTTAAAGACTCTTATCAAAAGGAATACAAGATTACTAAGAGATGAAGAATCTTTAGCAGGGAGCACCATGCCACAGAATAGGAAGAATGAAATAGAAAAACAGAATTGGTTTCATACTATTGGTGGTTCATTGAGAGAATAACTACTTTTCTTCCATTCGCAATGCCCCCATGACCCGTCTGTCCAAAAAAAAAAGAAAAGGAATGTGTGTATGAAAAGTTAATTCATTATCATCAAAGTAAAAAAACAATCAAACAAAAAATCCTGCCAACTCATCCTGAACAATGTAATATAGCCACAGAAGATTTTTTACCATTCTGTTAATTTATCATATACTCTCATGAAGATTCACGGGGATTCAAATATTGCCACCTTTATGTTCCAACAACATTCAGTTTCTGTCTCTGCTATAAACAGAGATATATAAACATGCTATAACAGAGATATAAACATGTATCTCACTCTACAATTATTTGTTTCTTATCTGTTTCCCACTGTGGACTGTGAGCTCCCTAGGAGCATAAATCCTTATGACCTCAATACCAATCAAAATATATGGAATTTTTAGGTACTTACACTTTTCTAGAAGCTTAGAAAGATGAAGGACAGAGGTGAGCAGCTGACAAAACTGATGCCAGCTTGACAGCTTGATGCATTCTTCCAAGTAAAAGATAAGGCATGTTGGGCCGGCCCTGTGGCTTAGCTGTTAAGTGCGTGCGCTCCGCTACTGGCGGCCCGCGTTTGGATCCCGGGCGCGCACCGACGCACCGCTTCTCTGGCCATGCTGAGGCTGCATCCCACATACAGCAACTAGAAGGATGTGCAACTATGACATACGACTATCTACTGGGGCTTTGGGGAAAAAAAAAGGAGGAGGATTGGCAATAGATGTTAGCTTAGAGCCGGTCTTCCTCAGCAAAAAGAGGAGGATTATCACAGATGTTAGCCCAGGGCTGATCTTCCTCACAAAAAAAAAAAAGATAAGGCATGTTGTTTTGCAAGAGTGTGGAAACTGACAAAGGAACAGTGGCTCCAAGAGAGAAAACTTCTGGCTAATTTGGGAAATTTTAAGTATATAACATAAAAGTGAAAAACTAAAGAGGAACCACTTGGCTTTCATGGACTCAATTAGTAGTCTAGGAGGCTAAGTGGAAACAGTACAGGTTGAGTATAGTACAGAAAAAAGAAGGGATGACAAATCAACACTGAAAGGGCTGTCTGGGGAATCTGGGCAAGAGAAATGGGGAAGCAAGATAGGAATAACCATGATGGAAGAAAAATACCAGTAGAAATAGCAGGGTCACAGACTAGAAGTTACAGAAGAAATAAAAAATTGAGTGAAAGCGAACACCATAGAATCAGAAAAAAGGTATAGTTGGGAGAGAAGGCGATTTCAAATTTCAAGACCCTGAAAATGTGCCTGTTCTGAGGGATGATAGTGCTTGTGGTAGCTGAGAGTATCTAATATTGAAAGACACTAGGGAAAATAAGAGTGTGTTGACAGAAGGATTATCATCAAGATATTAAAAATCATTCAACGATGGTAGCAGTCAAGAGTAGAGAGGAAGTCCATGACTTGTTGAATATAGTTGCTGGAGAGAGCTCTGAAGAGGAGGAGAAGGTGTTAAAAATAGATGGAGTGAAATTCAACCGAAGATTGGAAATTAAACTGATAGAATGATCAAATTCTCATGGGATCAACTTTAACATCCTCCTTAACTTTTATAAATAATGATGACCCAAAGGTATAGTTTAGCCTCAATAGTGGAAAAATAATGAGAGTTTAATTATTCTATGGAAAATCCTGGTTGCAAACTGTTGAAAACGTGTTAATTAATTTTTAAGTATAAATCACTGATAAATGATGTCTATACTTGAAGTGCTACTACCTGAAATTATTCATGATAATTTTCATCTACAGATGAGGCAAGCTTTCTATACACGAAGGTGTCAAAAGAGGCTGTGGTAAATTTGTGTAAAACATTCAATGTAATGTTACTGTTCAACGTGTTTTCTGAGAAAAAAGGATCACCATCTGCTAATATAAATATATTTAAGGAATAAAATTACCTTATTGAAACATGTTATATTTTTCGATGATGTAATTAGATCCATGAGAATTACCTAGATCAGTATTGTCCAATTGAAATATAAAGTGAGCTACAAATGCAAGAAATATATGTAGTTTAAAATTTTCTAGTAGCTACATTCAGAAAAGTAAGAAGAAACACGTTAAAATAATTTAAAAGATATTTTATTAAACCAAATGAAAATATTATCATTTCAATATGTACTAAACATAAATATTACTAGTGAGATATTTTAGTCTTTTTTTATACCTAGTCTCAATGTGAACTAACCACATTTCAAGTGCTCAATAGTCACAAGCAGCTAGTGGCTACCAAATGGGAGAGTGCAGAGGCAGAACACGACTTTCCAAAGAAGCAGCAGAATTCTTACGCTAGCCAGGATGACAAAAAATTTTAATTTAATACTGCAAACACAATTCCTCCACAACATTATGTGGATAATTTCTTTTGACTTGAGTCTCTGTGCACGTACATGTATGAATGTGCAAGTGCCATTAAATGCTGCAAGACAATCTATTACTCACTCTTTCTACAAGACTGTCATCACAACAGCTTTGCAAAATTTGGGGTTTGATTTGGTTTAATAACTTGGCATAGTTTTAGAACTTCAGATAATGGTGCAATGCACTGTCAAAAATAATGATTGAGTAGCTGCCTAGTGGTATATTTTCCAGCTATACATCCAAAATTATCTAGGAGCCGTCTTTTAACAAGGCAAGTTCCAAAGGTAAACTTTAATTTGAATTTTGTGGATCCACACTTGAATAATGTGGATCAATCACTTTGGTGAGTACCCTCTGGAGGTATTCAAATATGCTAGGGCAATATTTAAAACATTAAGAAAAACGAAGAGAGACAGATAAAAACGATGAGAATGGGAGAACAAAAGGGGGCTTTAATAAGATGCAGAGACTAGAAAAAAAAAGTCAGATAATTACTACATATATATTTGCAATTTGAGATAATATTTAGATAATCAAATATGTATTCACTTAGAACTTGTTGAAAATTTGGATCAGCAGTTATCTCATCTGACAGAACTGTTATAGCAGAATGGAACAAATATTAATACATTAACTTATTAAAAATAGGTTAAAGTATAACAAAGATTAGTGTAAAGTTTTAAAGTTTAAAATGAGGTTGACACATCTATGATTTTAGATGCCATGTAAAAACAAGACAAAAAGGTATAAATACCGTATTGTCGATAATCCTATGACTGAAAAATATGAACATACTTTAATTGTATCTTATTCAAACAGTTAGGTTCCAGATATTCTAGAAAACTTCCGTCATTAAGAATACTGTGAATTATAGGGTAAATGAGAAGCAAGAGATGCCATTTGGAGAGGCAGGCCTGGGCCTTGTCAAGAAAGGGCTTGTAGAGCATTCTAAGAAATTTAGGTTTCATCACGAAGGCAGTGAGAAGCTAATTAAAGCCAATTAAAGATTTTAGACAGGAGAGTGGCATAGTGAGGTTTTTGCTTTAGGAAGACGTCATTAGCAGTAATGTGGAGGATGGAAGGAAGAAGGTCAGGCAAGGACCCCAGGGGGCTGGGCTTCGGGAGGCTCCACCCAGAGGTGGAGATGGGGATTATTCAGGAGGTCTGAGCAACAGGATTTATTACTATATACAGTTCACATTTCCTCGAAAATCCTTTAGAAATACATCGTATGTCAATGGAAGAAGAAAAGCCAACACACAAACAAACAAAAAACCCAAACTCTCAAATACCTAATTCTAAATAAAAGTAAAATTTAAGAGAGCATGATCAGGTGGAAAACACCAGCATCCAGGACAAATTGTAGAAGCAGGAAAGACTGATTGAAAACGTTCCTCATTCCTTGCTTTTGGGCTGCTTCAAAGTGTACTAAATAGATACTTTTGATGACTGACAAATTTAGATTAAGTTAAAAATACCATACTTGCTGTTGTATAATATTGTGGGAAATTTTAAGAACAGAAAGAATACATATGCACACACATATATGTATGTATTAGGTATATTGTTGTACTTTTGCCGTTTATGACTACAGGGAGTTTCAAACACAGTTTTCTTACTAACCAAAAAAGGAGTTA